TGAGCTCAGGAGATCGAGGGTGCAGTAGTGCCAAGATGGCACCACTGCACTCCAGCCATGCCAACATGGCACTACTGCACTCCAGCCTAGGTGACAGAGTGAGATCCTGTCTCAAAAAAAAAAAAAAAAAAGTGAGGCACGGTGGCTCAAGCCTGTAATCCCAGCACTTTGGGAGGCTGAGGCGGGTGGATCACGAGGTCAAGAGATCAAGACCACCCTGGTGAACATGGTGAAACCCCGTCTTTACTAAAAGTACAAAAAAAATTAGCTGGGCATGGTGGCGCGCACCTGTGGTCCCAGCTACTCGGGAGGCTGAGGAGGGACAATTGCTTGAACCCAGGAGGCGGAGGTTGTGGTGAGCCAAGATCGCGCCATTGCACTCCAGCCTGGGTAACAAGAGCGAAACTCCGTCTCAAAAAAATAAATAAATAAAAGTGTTGGCCAGGCACAGTGGCTCATGCCTGTAATCCTGGCACTTTGGGAGGCCAAGCCAGGCTGATCACCTGAGGTCAGGAGTTCGAGACCAGCCTGACCAACATGGAGAAACCCTGTCTCTACTAAAAATACAAAATTAACTGGGCATGGTGGCGCATGCCTGTAATCCCAGCTACTCAGGAGGCTGAGGCAGAAGAATCGCTTGAACCTGGGAGGCGGAGATTGTGGTGAGCTTAGATCGCACCATTGCACTCCAGCCTGGGCAACAAGAGCAAACCTCCGTCTCAAAAAAAAAAAAAAAAAAAAGTAAACATCTAAATATTAACATAATTTAAGATATTTGTCAAATCCATGCAGGAAATAATAAAGGGATGTGACAGAGATTGGGAAGTCAGGAAAAGCTGCTCTCAGCAGTCTGAAGCCTGATAAGCAAGAGCAGTAGTATGTGCCGAGACTCCGGGGCAGGTACAACTGATGTGTTTCTTTTTCACTGCTGTAAAATATTCCATTGTATGAATGTACAGTACTACCATATATTTATCCATTATTTCCTGTTGACATTTAGATTGTTTCCAAATACTGCTTCTGTGAACATTTTTGTAGATGGCTTCTGTTGACTACATGTTTGTATGTCTGTAGGTATACACTGAGGACCGACTGAGCTTCAGTAGGAGTTTCCAAACAGTTATCAAAAGTGGCTGTACCAATTCACACTCCGCAGTGCTTTATTCAGTGCCTTCCTGCTGTCAGGCTTGGTCCTATGCAAAGCCTGAATATGGGAATAGTTGTGGGGAGGATACAAGACATGACTCATGGGGTGAATCTCAGTTTGTGTAGTGATTAAAAGCACAAGTCAGCTAGGCACAGTGGCTCACGCCTGTAATCCCGGGACTTTGGGAGAGTGAGGCAGGTGGATCACAAGGTCAGGAGTTCAAGACCAGCCTGGCCAAGATGGTGAAACCCCGTCTCTACTAAAAATACAAAAATTAGCCGGACATGGTGGTGGGCACCTGTAATCCCAGCTACTTGGAAGGCTGAGGCAGAGAATTGCTTGAACCCCAGAGGCAGAGGTTGCAGTGAGCCAAGATCATGCTACTGCACTCCAGCCTCAGTGACAGAGTGAGACTCCGTCTCAAAAAAAAAAAGAAAAGGAAAGGAAAGAAGAGCAGAAGTCTTGGAGTCAGCTAGGCCTGGGTTAGATCTCATCTCCTCTGCCTATCTACTACCTCTGTGACTTGAGGAAAGTCACCTAATGTCACTAAGCTTCAGGTCCTTTATCTATCAAATAGTGTAAATCCAGGAGCTCTCATCTCATTGGGTCTTCCACCCATTCCTTTATGTGACAAATGTTTATGGAATGCCTGCTGGGCTGTTTCCAATACTGATGATTCAGAAGTGAACAAGACAGATAAGGCTTTGCTCTCATGGAATGTAGATTCTAGTTAGGGGAGAGGGATGGTAGTTAAACAAACGAATACTTAAGATCATTTCAGATAGTGATACAAGCTCTGGAGGCATCGGGGTGCTGTGGTCCAGCAATGAGGTGAGGGTGATAGGGGAATCAGGCAGGTGACGGCTGAGCTGAGACTCAAATGAAGAACAGTGCTTTACATACAAGGGCTAGCCAGTGCAAGGGCCTGAGGAAGAAACAAGCATGGTGTATGTAAGGAGCAGAAGGAAGGTTGATTTTGCTGGGGTTAACTAGCCAAGGGAGAGGGCTGTTTGAGAAAGGCAGTAGAAATAGGCAGAGCCAGGTCATAGGGCCTTGAAGGCCATGGTTAATAGTTTGCATTTTAAGACTGATGAAAAACCACTGGATGGTTATAGGCAGGAGACCAATATGAGCTGATTTCCACTAAGATTTAAAAGAGATTATATATATATAAAATCAAGGACTTAGCACAGAGCCTGGCACAGAATGAAGATCAGTGTGTGTTAGTTGCTGCTGCTATTATTGTTATTATCGATGCCCTTAAAGAGCCTAAGGATTTACATCCTCTTTAAGGATAGGAAGCCAAGGCATAGAGCCATTACCATCCACGTGTAAAGTCAATCAAATTAGAGAACAGGATGCAGATTTTGTTAATTAAAGGAAGTGCTTTGGTCCTTTTCTCAAGTGTGAATTTTATTTTATATATTTTTTATTTTGAGACAGAGTTTTGCTGTTGTTACTCAGACTGGAGTGCAATGGCATGATCTCTGCTCACCACAACCTCCGCCTTCTGGGTTCAAGCAATTCTCCTTCCTCAGCCTCCCGAGTAGCTGGGACTACAGGCGCACACCACCATGCCCAGCTAATTTTGTTGTATTTTTAGTAGAGACAGGGTTTCACCTTGTTGACCAGGACGGTCTCGATCTCTTGACCTTGTGATCCACCCACCTCGGCCTCCCAAAGTGCTGGGATTATAGGCGTGAGCCACCGCGCCGGGCAAGTGTGAATTTTAAAGCAGAGGATTTTCTCTATGGATAGCAATTATCTGGAACCAACTAAACTCCTTAAGCCCCACTTTGCCAAAATGCCAGGAGCGCAGTCAATTAGGTGTCATTGCCTATGTCTCTAGCCATGATTTAGGACCCTTGGAAAGGCTCCTGATTGATTGTTCAATCCAGCTGCCTTTGCTTTGGGTCTGATGGGTCCAGATGGGGAGGGACTCCTTGTCCTACACCTTAAGTGCCCGCTGGGTTTGCTGGGATGCCTGGCCAATCTGCCATCTCAGACTTGGAGGCTCTCCCACCATGTTCATGTCATTAAAAGCCCAGGGGCTGTTTTTATGTTTCAGAGAGGCCCTTGAAGGAAGCTGCCCTTCATTTTCTCTGACACAGAGAAATGGAAAGTGAATAAATGTGAATGGGCTAGGCACAGTGGCTCACACCTGCAATCCCAGAACTTTGGGAGGCCTAGGTGGGAAGATCGCTTAAGCCCAGGGGTTCAAGATTATCCTGGATAACATAGCAATACCTTGTCTCTACAAAAAAAATTTGGGGCCGGGCGCGGTGGCTTACGCCTGTAATCCCAGCACTTTGGGAGGCCGAGGCGGGTGGATCACGAGGTCAAGAGATCGAGACCATCCTGTTCTACATGGTGAAACCCTGTCTCTACTAAAAATACAAAAAATTAGCTGGGCATGGTGGCGCGTGCCTGTAATCCCAGCTACTCAGGAGGCTGAGGCAGGAGAATTGCCTGAACCCAGGAGGTGGAGGTTGCGGTGAGCCGAGATCGCACAATTGCACTCCAGCCTGGGTAACAAGAAACTCCGTCTCAAAAAAAAAAAATTTGAATTGAAAAAAAAAAAAGAAGAATATATATGTGAATGAATGAATGCAAATTGTGTAATGAAACTGGGAAAAGCTCTTTGGGTATATAGTACTTGTTTCTGGACAAAGTACACCTGGCGAGGATTTTTCATTCCTTCATTCATCAGTATTTACTGAGCTTCTGCTAGGTGCCAGCCACTGTATAGCAGTGAGCAAAAAGGTGCCATTTTCACCCTCATGGGGCTTCCAATCTAGTGGGACATACAATCATCAAATAATTGCACAGATATAGTCAGGTGTGGGGGTTCGGTTCACACTTCTAACCCCAGCACTTTGGGACCAGCCTGGGCAACATAGCAAGACCCCATTTCTACAAAAAATTTAAAAATTAGCCAGGTGTGGTAGTGCACACCTGTAGTCCCACCTACTTGGGAGACTGAAGCAGGAGGATCCCTTGAGCCCAAGAGTTCATGGCTGCAGGGAACCATGACTGTATTACTATACTCCGGCCAGGGTGACAGAGCAAGACTTTGTCTCCAAAAAAAAAAGAAAAATTGACCAGGCGAGGTGGCTTACACCTGTAATCCCAGCACTTTGGGAGGCCGAGGTGGGTAGATCACCTGAGGTCGGGAGTTCAAAACCAGCCTGACCAACATGGCGAAACCCCATCTCTACTAAAAATACAAAATTAGCTGGGCGTGGTGGCGCACGCCTGTAATCCCAGCTGCTCGGGAGTCTGAGGCAGGAGAATCTCTTAAACCCGGGAGGTGGAGGTTGCGGTGAGCCAAGATCATGCCATTGCACTCCAGCCTGGGCAACAAGCATGAAACTCTGACTCAAAAAAAAAAGTAAAATTAATTGCATAAGTAGAAAATGATAACAGCAATAAAGGTATATAATGAGGGCAGAGTTTGGAAAAGTTTCTCTAGTAAGAGACATTTCAGCACAGAGCTAAAAGAAGAATGGTGTTAAGTGGGGTTTGGAGGGTGGAGTGAGAAGTATTCCAGGCAGAAGACAGCGTATGCAAAGGTCTTGGGGCTGGAGGGAACATGGTGAGTCGATGGAAGTGCGAAAAGATCAGTGTGACTACAGGGCTGAAACAGGTGGACCCTGGTCCCAGGAAGAGCTGGAAATGTGGGGGACAGGGCCCATGTTGAGGACAGATCACAGAAGGCTTTGGAGGCGCTCTCAAGGATCTATACTTTTATGCTTCTCCAGGACAATGGGATGCTCTTAAAGAACTTGAAGCCTCGGAGATGTGTGTGTATTTGTGTTAGTGGGTAACAAGATCTAATTTTCATTTTGAAAAGCTCATTCCGGCCACTGAGAGAAGAATGGACTGCAAGGACTACAATGGGTCTGGGAACTGCCCATCCCCACGCTGCCCCTTCAGTTCCTGGAGTGATAATGGAGCCCTGCTGTTCCTGGTTCCAGGGTGCTGCACCATCCCTGTAGTTTCCCTACACTCTGCAAAGTGTGTCTATGTTTGCAAATAATTTCTCAACTCTCCTCAAATGACCACATTTGCTCTGCTTGACTTTATAGAGAAATTATATCGGCTGGATAAAGCGGAGGAAAGTTTAGCAGTCATTTAACCTAACTCCTTTGTTTTGCTTGTTATACATGTGGATTACTGGATTTTGTTTCGTAGCAAGTTGGACAAGCTTTGTCTTTTCACTACAGAGCAGTCCATTTCAGTTTGCTTGTATTAATATGAGTATTGTAAATTATTAAATTAGTCAGATTTCTTTCTATCTTATTTTCTTATCTTTGTCCTGGTTTTTATTTTTTGTGTTTCCTTCTGCTTTCTGGCCTTCTTATGGATTGGGCTTTTTTTTTTTGTAGATGGAGTTTCACTCTTGTTACCCAGACTGGAGTGCAATGGCACGATCTCGGCTCACCGCAACCTCCGCCTTCTAGGTTCAAGCAATTCTTCTGCCTCAGCCTCCCGAGTAGCTGGGACTACAGGCGCGCACCACCATGCCCAGCTAATTTTTGTATTTTTAGTAGAGACGGAGTTTCACCATGTTGACCAGGATGGTCTCGATCTCTTGACCTTGTGATCCACCCGCCTTGGCCTCCCAAAATGCTGGGATTATAGGCATGAGCCACCGCGTCCGGCTGGGCTTTTTTTTTTTTAATCATCTCTTTTTTTCCCACTGATTGCCTAGGAAGTTACAGTCTTTCCATCTATTCTTTTAGTGGATCCCCTAGATATTTAAAAGTTAATCGTAGGCTGGGTGCGGTGGCTCATGCCTGTAATCCCAGCACCTTGTATTTTCTCACAATTCTGGAGGCGAGAAGTCAGAGATCCAGGTGTTGACAGGGTTGGTGTTGACAGGGTTGGTGTCTTCTGAGACTGCATCTTGGCTTGGGAGATGGCTGCCTTCTCCTGTGTCGTCACATGGGCTCCCCTTGCTCTGTGTCCTAATTTCCTCTTGTTACTAGTAGAACACTAGTCATATTGGGTTAGGGCTCACCCTGGTGACCTCATTTTAACATAATTATCTCTTTAAGGATCTGCCTCCAAATATAGTCCTATTCTGAGGTGGGGAGGCTAGAACTTCAACATATGAATTTGGGGGGAATGCAGTTCAGCTGTAACAGGACACAAGAAGCAGAGACTGACAGGAGAGTGGGGAGGATCACAGAAAAGGGGAGTCCAGAGAAGCTAAGGCGGAGAAAGGTGCTAGGGAGGGACATCAAGTGTTCAGTGTTGTAGAGAGGCCATGAGGGGGACAATGGAGGAAAGAGGGGCTTAACGGTGGGCACTCCCTGAAGATTACCTATGAGGAAGCCATTTCAGCAGAGGTGGAGGCCAGGCCAGCGTGGTGAGGAGCGCAGAGGGGCCAAAGTGGGAGATACTCTGTAGAGGTTTACTGAGTGAATACAATGCACTTCTTTTTCTCACTTTTCTAACATTCCATGGTTTCTCCTTAGAAACTCTGAGATGAGGCCAGGCGAAGTGGCTCACGCCTGTAGTCCCAACACTTTTGGAGGCCAAGGTGGGTGGATCATGAGGTCAGGAGTTCGAGACCAGCCTGACCAACATGGTGAAACCTTGTCTCTCAAAAAAAAAAAAAATTAGCTGGGCGTGGTAGCACGCACCTGTAATCCCAGGTACTCGGGAGGCTGAGACAGGAGAATCACTTGAACCCAGGAGGCGGAGGTTGCAGTGAGCTGAGATAGCGCCGCTACACTCCAACCTGGGTGACAGAGTGAGACTCTGTCTCAAAAAGCAAACAAAACTTAGAGGTGAAGGCTGCATTCTAGGATCCTAACCCTGAACTTATTCATCTTATGCAACTGGGTCTTGAAGATGAGTCAGGGAGACTAGAATATCTTTTCTCCTTGGAAGCCAGAGAAAGAGAGGAAAAAGAAGGGGGAGAAGGAGGAGGAGGGAGGCAAAGAAGAGAACTGAGAGAAAAACAAACCAAACCACATCGTCACTAATCTGCCACAACCATAAAGAAAAAAAATGGGGTGACATATGAAGTCAGAGAGGCCTTGCGGTGGGGGGGGGGCATTTTACAATTTTCCTGTCTGCCCTCCAGAAAGAAAGAGGTTGTTCATTCAGTCATTTATTAAAAAAAGAAATTCTAATTAAGCACCTACTCTAAGTTGGATGCCAGGCTAGGCCAGAGGGAAACATCAGTGAAGCAAATATCAAATATTTATTGACTGCTTACGTAACGCCATGTCCTGTGCTAAGCACTTGGTGTACATCCTGCTCTCAAGGACAGCCTAAGACGGGGGCTGTTGGTATGGCTCTTATACCAATGGTGAAATGGGCTCAGTGAAGCTTAGGATGGTTCGGAAACTCACGTTGGGTCACAGAGTGATCAGTAAGCCACTTGCACACAGCCCAGGGGTACCTTTTCCAGCTCTATCTTAACCCAGGCCCCTGAGGCTTCTCCCAGGGCACAGCCAGTGGCTGCTTTGAGTTGTGGATGAGTCAGGACGAGCTGGGGATAAGCAGCCCTAGTTCCTGCCCGCCCATCCTGTCCTTGGCCTGAGAAAGGACAGGCACTGGGGACGGATGTGGGCTGGGATGATAGTGCCGCGTCACTGCTGATGAGAGGGCTGTGTTCACCTCCTTCCTCCCAGCCACTGCCTGAAGTCCTTGCTGTCAGCTACTGTCCTTGCTGTCACACACCCCTCCCAGCACCACTGAAAACACCTGGGATTGTGTCTCAGGAACCAAAAATGCGTTTCCTTCCTTCTCTGGGGTTTCCTCAAGGGTACTTGAGAGCACAACCGGTTTCTGAAATTCAATTCCCAAATGCCCAGGATTTCCCCTGTGGTTCCAGAGAAAGGGAGAAACGTGGCTTCCGTGAACACCCATTGAGCGGGAGCATGAGGAAGTTTCCAGTGACCTTTCTTCTATTTCGAGATGAGGAGGTCGGTGGCTGTGCTGCTGACCAGTGAGTCAGTGGGCCAGGGACTGAACACTGTGTATAGGTGAAGAACTCGGGAGGCTGAACCACATTTAAAGAACTGCTTCTGGCCAGGCGCGGTGGCTCAAGCCTGTAATCCCAGCACTTTGGGAGGCCGAGATGGGTGGATCACGAGGTCAACAGATCAAGACCATTCTAGTCAACATGGTGAAACCCCATCTCTGTTAAAAATACAAAAAATTAGCTGGGCACAGTGGCGCGTGCCTGTAATCCCAGCTACTCAGGAGGCTGAGGCAGGAGAATTGCCTGAACCCAGGAGGCGGAGGTTGCGGTGAGCCGAGATTGCGCCATTGCACTCCAGCCTGAGTAACAAGAGCGAAACTCCATCTCAAAAAAAAAAAAAAAAAGAACTGCTTCTGGTCATTCTGGTCTAATTTGGCAGTGAAATAATTTAAAGACTGAAGGAGTCCACAGAGATCTGTATACAAGAATGTTTACCAGCCAGGTGCCATAGCTCACACCTGTAATTTTAGCACTTTGGGAAGGCAAGGCGGGCAGATCATGAGGTCAGGAGTTTAAGACCAGCCTCGCCAACATGGTGAAACCCCGTCTCTACTAAAAACACAAAAACTAGCTGGGTATGGTGGTACATGTCTGTAATCCCAGCTACTCAAGAGGCTGAGGCAGGAGAATCACTTGAACCCGGCAGGTGGAGGTTGCAGTGAGCTGCAATTGTGCCGCTGCACTCCAGCATGGGCAACAAAGCAAAAACCCCTCAAAAAAAAAAAAAAAAAAAAGAAGAAGAATGTTTATCATAATGTTTTAGTAGTAGCAACCTAAGTGCCCACCTGTAGGGGACGGAGGAAATCAACGATGGCTGATCTCTACAAAGGAAAGCTATGTTGTCATTAAGCAGTGTGTGGTGGACCTAAAAGGTGTGGATATAGAAAGGTGTTCACGACTGATCATTAAGAGAATAAAGCAAGACACGGAAGAACAGTGCACATGTGTTTACGCAAAAGTGTGTATATGCTTCTGTAGCCAGGGGGGATTTCTGGAAATACACAAGAGAAACCACTAACTTGAACTGGCTTGGTTCCAGAGTAGGAATAGGGGTTTGGTTGGAGAGTGAGACGTTTACTCTTTGCTTTACACTCTTCTGTACTCTTAAATTTTTAAAAAATAATGAGCATCTATTGCTTTTATAATACAATGATAATAATAAAGTAGAAGACGGCCGGGCACGGTGGCTCACGCCTATAATCCCAGCACTTTGGAAGGCCGAGGCGGGTGGATCACGAGGTCAAGAGATCGAGACCATCCTGGTCAACATGGTGAAACCCCGTCTCTACTAAAAATACAAAAAATTAGCTGGGCATAGTGGCGCGTGCCTGTAGTCCCAGCTACTCAGGAGGCTGAGGCAGGAGAATTGCCTGAACCCAGGAGGCGGAGGTTGCGGTGAGCCGAGATCGCACCATTGCACTCCAGCCTGGGTAACAAGAGCGAAACTCCATCTCAAAAAAAATAAAATAAAGTAGAAGAAAGAAAGGCTTAAGAAGGCTTTCAAACCAAAGGTATCAAAACAATTCAGCATAGCATCTAGAAGTGCTGGGGACAGGAGGAATGATGAAGTGAAGAGATGACCCTGTACGTTGGAAACTGCCCCTAGCCACTGCTTGCACAGCTATACTTTGACCAATCAAGGATGGTCACAGACACAGGGACTGTTGGGAAATCACTATTTGCAAAGATGATCAGTGACAGAAAGAATAAAACAAAATCAAGGCCAAAGTTCAGCTCCAAGAACAGGGATTGAATTGTCTATTATAATATCTAAGGCTGGGCACGGTGGCTCACGCCTGCAATCCCTGCACTTTGGGAGGCCGAGGTGGGCAGATCACCTCAGGTCAGGAGTCCGAGACCAGTCTGGCCAACATGGTGAAACCCTATTTCTACTAAAAATACAAAAACTTAGCTGGGCATAGTGGCAGACGCCTGTTAATCCCAGGTACTCTGGAGGCTGAGGCAGGAGAACAGCTTGAACTTGGGTGGTGGTTGCAGTGAACTGAGATTGCACCATTGCACTCCATCCTGAGCAACAAGAGTGAAACTCCATCTATAAATAAATAAATGAATAAATAATAGCTAACATATATTGAGTACTTAACTGTGTATCAAAGCAATGTGCAAATTGCTTTTATTTAGTATTATCTCATTTAATCTTCAAAACAACCCTACAAGGTAGTTCTGTTATCCCAATTTACAGAGGGGGACACAGGCTCAGAGGATTTAAATTACTTGCCTAAAAACACAATAATTGGTAGGGCTGCGATATGTCTATTACTTGAGGCAGTTTTCTTAC